AAACAAGAACATTTCACAACTCTATTTAAGGGTGGAACATTTAGTCATTTCTTTTAACCTGTATATATATTTTAATTTCTATATCAGTATCACGGGTATGACAATTACTTTTTACTGTTCTAATTAAGTTGGTAACCAGTTTATAATAGCAATAAGGCACATTTTACATGACGCTCTTATCCAGAGCGACTTACAGTTGGTGAGTGCATAAATTTTTTCACACTGGCCCCCCATGGGAAACGAACCCACAACCCTGGCATTGCAAGCGCCATGCTCTACCAACTGAGCTACATGGCATCTCAGGGGTTTGTGATATATGGCCAATATACCACGACTAAGAACAGCCCTTAGCCGTGGTATATTGGCCCTATACCACACCTCCTCAGGCCTTATTGCTTAATCATAGTATTCAAAACAAGTTAAATCGACAATGGAAAATGATCTGGCGAGTTTAATAAGGGCTAATTATCTTTTCTCTTGCGACATCTTAAGTTCCAAAAATTATTATTTAGATGGAAAACCACATTTTGTAGTAGTTACAAATTACGTCGCTATTCCTTCTTAATTAACTCTATAACGTAATGGAAAAGGGGTTTATTGGATAATTGTAGCAACTCGTCTTCCTGCGCCCCCAAAAATAATGTGGGCTAGCTTTCAGGACTTGTGGCCGGGTTTTGAGAGGTCATTGGGCTACAAATTGTAGCTAGACCTCTCAACCCTGGCCGCCGATAAACCCCACACAGAAGAAGGGGTGGGGGCGACAGCGTTAGCTAGCTAGCTATCCATACACCGATAGACAGTATCCTTCGCCCCCGCCTGTCAGGCACTTTACACATGGCACTTTACATATGGTTCTGGGTCTAGTTAGATTTTGTTAGATTGAATTAAGGCAAAGTTGTGAGTAGATTGCTTTTCTAAGGTTAAGTTACAACCAGGGGTGAAAGTATAATTAATTTCTTCCCAGTAAGTGACCTCCTATTTGTTTATGGGTCAAATCATAGAATTCCATATATAATCCCTATTAATTCAATAGGATCTCTGTTGGCCGTTGTAAAGATTTGTCATTTAACATTTATAAACTTTTATTGTGGCATAAACACAACCAGTCATTATGTTTTCATCTGATTGACAAACTATCACTTCAAAGGGCTCATTTACTAGGCTATCCGCGCACGTTCATCCACTCGCAATATATTTCCAGCCTCCATACAGTCGTGAATGGAGACATATGTTACACAAAACACCAAAAAGTGTAATGACATTTGGCCAGAATTTATGCGTCCACTGCTTTCTGCGCACGTCACGTTATCGGCCACTCTTCTCTGCCTTGGCGAAATGTATGTGTTCTCGTGGAACCACATCGCATTTTGGAGCGTAGGCTATAGGCTACCACCCGTTTTCAAGTACATTCGCTCATTTTTCATGCCTCTGACATACGGTAATGATAAAAAGTGGTGTAATAGCCTACAGGTTTCTTGATTTTTTTTAAATTATTGTGATAGGCTCCTGTTTTACCAGTACAAAGTCAAATTGTGTAGAGAGCTGTGTAGAGAGCGGATTGGGGTCACTATCAATCAAGGACTCCTGACTGACAATTATCAATCGTATGAACCCACTACAATCTGACCCGCCGAGCGTCGAATGCTTTGCCATGCTTATTTATAAGAAAATGAACGCATATAGTTAGTTTTTAGTCATGGTTGGTGACATTGCAGAAACCCGTATGGAAACTGCATATTTGTTCCGCCATTACATTTAGTACAATGATTGCTCGATGAAATAGATAGGCCTACAAGATTTTAGAGAAATATTTGTGATCTATTCTTTGGAGAACTTGGCAGTGGATTAGGGATAGGCCCCTACCACAAATAGCCGAGACATCATTAGGCACACGTTGAATCTAATTGCAGGACAGACATAGTGAACCGCACCATGAATTCCCTGCTTTTTTACGACACTTTTCGAGATACATAAATAAGAAGTATCAGGCGCAATGATTTTACCATTATCAGCCACTTGGGGGCGCACCACGCCCGTGTTATTTCTGAGAACACCGGTTTCTATCGTCACTGACACTATCACTATCATGGGCTACAGTGCTGTATCATGAGTGATGAGTCAAATTACAAATTAATGTCTTAGGAACAGAATACTTAAAGTAATAGACTAGGATATAATATCAAATCTTAGTAGGCACTTGCCGTGCTGCTTCCTCGTTTTTTTTTATTAGTCGTATGTACGGGATACGCAGGCCGTGGTGCACACTCGATGGTGCAGCGGTAGTATTTCAACAGGACCCGGGGCAGCGTGCCGAATTTCTTCAGCCGCCTTAGGAAGTAGAGACGCCGTTGTGCCCTCTTGACAATAGTGGTGGTGTTGTTGGTCCATGACAAGTCCTTGGTGATGTGGATGCCGAGAAACTTAAAACTCATGACTCTCTACTGCAGCTCTTATCCAGCGCGACTTACAGTTAGTGAGTGCATACATTTTCATACTGGTCCCCCGTGGGAATCGAACCCACAACCCTGGCGTTGCAAGCGCCATGCTCTACCAACTGAGCTACACGGGACTAGCTGATTGTTGACTTTCTAAAGTCAATAATCAACTCCTTTGTTTTGCTGATGTTGAGGGAGAGGGTATTGTCATGAAACAACAATGTCAGTTCACTTACCTCCTCCCTATTGGCCAGGGTTGGCCCACTGGTGGTTTTATTTGGCCCCTCAAGTTTTCTGAGCAAAAAATAATAATTAAAAATCAGGTATTGCTATCCCAAGTGGCGCAGTGGTCTAAGGCACAGCATCGCAGTGCTAGCTGTGCCACTAGAGATCCTGGTTCTAATCCAGGCTCTGTCGTAGCCGGCTGCGACCAGGAGACCCATGGGGCGGCACACAATTGGCCCAGGGTTGTGGCTTTGATTCCCACTGGGGGCCAGTATGAAAATAAAATAAAATAATGTATTCACTCACTTGCTCTGGATTAGAGTGTCTGCTAAATGACAAAAATGTAATGTATTTTTTTTACTTTTCATTGTTGGACATAAGACTGTAGAAACTACAGGAAATCAGTTCCACGTCGTTTTAATTTTGGAAATCGGTTCCCAAGTAGTCCCACTCATAATAGAGAGACACGTGATTGTATACAAATGTAAGCGAAGTTTGAAATGATGTTAGTCAAACATATATGTTTGGGCTTCTTGTGGTCAATTTGCAGTCTACAAATTATTTGTAATTATGTTCAGGCCCCCCAACCATCTGCTCAAGAAAAAATTGGCCGGCGGCTGAATCTAGTTGATGATCACTGCTATAGGCTGACTCGTGGTTGTTGGTTATCAGGGCTACAACCATTGTGTCGTCAGCAGACTTGATGATGGAATTGTTGCCGTACAAAGCCACGCAGTCGTGGGTGAACAGGGAGTACAGCAGAGGGCTGAGGACACCCCCTCTGTGGTCCCCTGTGTTAAGAGTCAGTGTGGAGGAGGTGTTGTTGCCAATCCTCACAGCCTCTGGTCTGCCCATCAGGAAGTCCAGGATCCAGTTGCAGAGGGTTGTGTCCAGACCCAGGGCTCTGAGCTTGGTGACGAGCTTCGAGGGAGCAATAGTGTTGAATGCTGAACTTTAGTCAATGAACAGCATTCTCACATAGGTGTTCCTCTTGTCCAGATGTGTTACTGCCGTGTGAATAGCGATGGAAATGGCATCTTCCGTGGATCTGTTGGAGCGGTAGGCAAATTGGAGTGGGTCCAGTGTGCCTGGCATGCACTCCCCGAATGACTGAAACACAGGCAGCCTATTACAATCGATGGGCCTATCTATTCCTCAAGAACCTCTTATTTCCCATAACACTTCATTGATTGACTGCTGCTGTTATGTCATTTCATGATAGGCCTGTGGGGTGGAAATGGTTTGCAGTCGACCATTATGAGGGAGTGAGTCATTTGGTATGGCTATTGTACTGAAAATGCTTTTTAAAGATGGGAAATTATGATACATTATTGCTAATGACAAATGCACACAGGGATGCACACCACTTTTTCAGGTAGTTTGTTGTGATTGGGATTTCTAGAGCTGTTGTTGTGTATGTGATCGTGGCTATATTTCATGACTAACTTGCACTCATACAAAAAAAAACCCAGGATGGGATCCTTTGATCTTCTTCCCACTGAATGTGTTATGTAATGCTGCCAGTCTCTTTGTCTTCACACAAATTACCATGGGAAATGTGCTGCCTGTGCTCATCTTTCAGTTGTGCTGCTGGTCCACAGATTTAGGATTGGTGCTGCTGGTCCACATATTTAGGATTGGTGCTGCTGGTCCACAGATTTAGGATTGGTGCTGCTGGTACACTGATTTAGGATTGCCACTCGGATGATGGAAACAAAAGGGATGGTTCTACAGAGAATGATGAGTCTTTTTTAAAGGAAAAGATTGCAAAGAGAAAGATTTACAGATTGTAAAGATAACTGTTCATATTATGCTTGGTCTTTGACACAACATAAACAAGTCAAAATTACTTATTTTTTGTGGCCTTCAACAACAATTTTAGCTTATCCATCAGCGTTCAACAGTACATTAAATTGAATAGGCTTATGTTGAATTTCATTTGCTGCCTAGTTTGGTTTCTCTCTCTCTCTCTCTCTCTCTCTCTCTCTCTCTCTCTCTCTCTCGCCCTCGCTCTCTCTCTCTCTCTCTCTCTCTATCTCTCTATTACGAACGCAGGAACATCATGTGGTCCTGGCTTGGCGGTGTCGCTGAATCAAACAGTTGGATCGTGGTAGGTGCTGTGTTACACAAGCAGCCACAGCTTACGTCTGTGCAATTTTAATGTGGCATCCACTCAGGACAGGATAGTGACTGTGCGAACTCTGAGAGACGCGCAACTTTGTTTATTTCTACCGACTTGACCTCGGGATATGAAGTAGAGCTGTTACCAGATTTCAAAGAACGACTTGCACACTAAAACATTTGATTTATTCTCGTGGGGAGTAAGACGCATATTTGAAAATGAACCCTCCGTGTGCGCGCTGTGGGAAAATTGTCTATCCGACGGAGAAAGTCAACTGCCTTGATAAGGTGAGATGATCACAATTTCAATGCACTGTTATGATGACGTCTATATCAGAATTGACTGCGCTGTATTTTTCAGGAGTCTGTTGGGGGATTTTTAAAACTTTGATTCAAACTTATCAGAATAGCCTACATTTGACTATACAAAAAGTTATTTTTTTTGTGTGGTTTTGGTTAGCTTGTGTTACTCTCATGGTAAGTGTATTATAATAACCTATCTATTGTAGTATATACTAAGAAAAAGGGCTTCCATCTCCTACGGGGACAGTTGGAAACCCTTTTAGGTTCTAGATAGCATCTTTTTTTCTAAGAGTGTAGGAGGATGCATCATATTGACATGGCTAGGGGATGGAATAGACTGCAAGTTTACCCTTTATCCCCTGAATGACATATTCTCAGATTTGTACAATAGGGAATGACTGGCATTTTCTTGCATGTGATCCTTTCTTTTTTACCTGCGCATCCTTTTTGTGCACTTGATCAAAATATGAATTCTGGTTTATGGTTGAATATGGCCTACAACTAGTTAATGATCGATTAATAGCTACTTTGCATTATTTTTGTCTATATCAGACCTAGGTCTATACTACCCTACTACTACTGCTACTACTGCTACTGCTACTACTACTACTATGTTTACCACTACTACTACTGCTACTGCTACTACTACTACTATGTTTACCACCACTACTACTGCTACTACTACTACTACTACTACTACTACTTTTACCACTACTACTACTACTACTACTACTACTACTACTACTACTACTACTACTACTACTACTACTACTACAGTTTAATAATAGTAAGGTTCTTTAGGAGTGAGCGTCTTATGTCAAAGTTGTCGAAGACCAACCCTATATAGCCTTTATCTTGACCACTTTTGTAAACTATCAACTTTTCCGCAGGCCTACCCATTACCTAAACCCCTAACCCTGGTCCTGGCCATATGGCTTTTTGGCACCAATGTGGCACACTTTCTGAGGACATCACACACATGCAATCCACATGAACACATCATGGGCATTGAATACTGTCTGGCACCCATCCAAACAAATCCATGGCCGAAAAGCCAGTGGACAGTCGTAGCACCGGTATATCTGCAACCAAATGCATGGCCTATTGTAGGCCTACAGCTCAGAACCCTATACATACACCAGAGACATATTCTTAGTAAAATGATTTACTCAATTTAGAATCAGTAATCTCCTCAGAATGAGTTGAAATAGATAACCTTTTTTAAATTAATAAACCTTTCTTCTTGAGGGCCTTATTAATTCACAAACTGGTCATTTTTGTTAGAACCACTTCTCTTGGTTGTGATAATAGAAATCTGGAATATCAGTAATCTCTACGCCTCCAATTAATAACGGCGATTATTGATTCACAATTATCAGATTTGAGCACCGGCACAAGGTCAAACTGACTTGAAATATAATTTGTGTTTTCTTTTCCAGAATTGGCATAAAGGATGCTTCCACTGTGAGGTGTGCAAAATGACCCTCAACATGAAGAACTACAAAGGCTATGATAAGAAGCCCTACTGCAATGCGTGAGTACAGTTGTTGCTTTAGCTATTTATTTGCTTTGGTTTTAGGGCTTGTCAGGGGTCTTAAAGTGTTTAGTTGATGAAGTGGTAGACATAGAGTATGGACACATGGGCATTGGGCATTAATGGGCAATGCATGTATAGTGGAGGTGATTTGGAATCACGCTCTCGTAATGAGGTGGCCCTGCCTGACACTTTATCTTTCAGGTTTCAGGAGAAGACCCAGATGCAGACAGTGTTGAAGTAACAAAAGTTTATTACAAAAACAGGGGGCAGGCAAACGACAGGTCAAGAGCAGGCAGAGGTCAGTAATCCAGATCAGAGTCCAAAAGGTACAGAACGGCAGGCAGTCTCAGGGTCAGGGCAGGCAGAGGTCAATAATCCAGGGTGGTGTGACCAGGTACAGAATGGCAGCCAGGCTCCGGGTTAGGGCAGGCAGAATGGTCAAAACCAGGAAAACTAGAAAACAGGAACTTGAGAAAGACAGGAGCAATGGGAAAACCGCTGGTAGGCTTGACGAAACAAAACGAACTGGCAACAGACAAACAGAGAACACAGGTATAAATACACTGGGGATAATGGGGAAGATGGGCGACACCTGGAGGGGGGTGGAGACAATCCCAAAGACAGGTGAAACAGATCAGGGAGGCCTCCTGAATGAAGCAGCAGTCTAAGGCTCTGCATCGCAGTGCAAGCTGCATTACTACAGATCCTGGTTCGATATAGGGCTGTGTCGCAGCCGGCCGCGACCGGGAGACCCATGAGGCGATGCACAATTGGCCCAGCGTCATCCGGGTTAGGGGAGGTTTTGGCCGGCCGGGATGTCCTTGTCCCATCGCGCTGTAGCGACTCCTGTGGCGGGCCGGGCACATGCACGCTGACGCAGTCGCCAGGTGTACAGTGTTTCCTCCGACACATTGGTGCTGCTGGCTTCCGGGTTAAGCATGCATTGTGTCAAGAAGCAGTGCGGCTTGGTGGGGTTGTGTTTCGGAGGATGCATGGCTCTCGACCTTCGCCTCTCCTGAGTCCGTACAGGAGTTACAGCGATGGGACAAGACTGTAACTACCAATTGGATATGACGAAATTGGGGAGTAAAGGGGGTAAATATATATATATATACAGTGAGGGAAAAAAGTATTTGATCCCCTGCTGATTTTGTACGTTTGCCCACTGACAAAGAAATGATCAGTCTATAATTTTAATGGTAGGTTTATTTGAACAGTAAGAGATAGAATAACAAAAAAAAAATCCAGAAAAACGCATGTAAAAAATGTTATAAATTGATTTGCATTTTAATGAGGGAAATAAGTATTTGACCCCCTCTCAATCAGAAAGATTTCTGGCTCCCAGGTGTCTTTTATACAGGTAACGAGCTGAGATTAGGAGCACACTCTTAAAGGGAGTGCTCCTAATCTCAGTTTGTTACCTGTATAAAAGACACCTGTCCACAGTAGCAATCAATCAACCTCGTGGAGTTGCAATGATCATGAGAACGGTGAGGAATCAGCCCAGAACTACACGGGAGGATCTTGTCAATGATCTCAAGGAAGCTGGGACCATAGTCACCAAGAAAACAATTGGTAACACACTAGGCCGTGAAGGACTGTAATCCTGCAGCACCCGCAAGGTCCCCCTGCTCAAGAAAGCACATATACAGGGCCGTCTTAAGTTTGTCAATGAACATCTGAATGATTCAGAGGAGAACTAGGTGAAAGTGTTGTCATCAGATGAGACCAAAATGGAGCTCTTTGGCATCAACTCAACTCGCCGTGTTTGGAGGAGGAGGAATGCTGCCTATGACCCGAAGAACACCATCCCCACTGTCAAACATGGAGGTGGAAACATTATGCTTTGGGGATGTTTTTCTGCTAAGGGGACAGGACAACTTGTATCGTCAAATCTTGGGTGAGAACCTCCTTCCCTCAGCCAGGGCATTGAAAATGGGTTGTGGATGGGTATTCCAGCATGACAATGACCCAAAACACACGGCCAAGGCAACAAAGGAGTGGCTCAAGAAGAGGCACATTAAGGTCCTGGAGTGGCCTAGCCAGTCTCCAGACCTTAATCCCATAGAAAATCTGTGGAGGGAGCTGAAGGTTCGAGTTGCCAAACATCAGCCTCGAAACCTTAATGACTTGGAGAAGATCTGCAAAGAGGAGTGGAACAAAATCCCTCCTGAGATGTGTGCAAACCTGGTGGCCAACTACAAGAAACGTCTGACCTCTGTGATTGCCAACAAGGGTTTTGCCACCAATTACTAAGTCATGTTTTGCAGAGGGGTCAAATACTTTTTGCCCTCATTAAAATGCAAATCAATTTATAACATTTTTGACATGCGTTTTTTTCTGGATTTTTTTGTTGTTATTCTGTCTCTCACTGTTCAAATAAACCTACCATTAAAATGATAGACTGATTATGTCTTTGTCAGTGGGCAAACGTACAAAATCAGCAGGGGATCCAATACTTTTTTCACTCACTGTATATATTATACAGTTGAAGTCGGAAGTTTACATACACCTTAGCCAAATACATTTAAACTCAGTTTTTCACAATACCTGACATTTAATCCTAGTAAAAAATTCCCTGTCAGTTAGGATCACCACTTTATTTTAAGAATGTGAAATGTCAGAATAATAGTAGAGAGAATGATTTATTTCAGCTTTTATTTCTTCATCACATTCCCAGTGGGTGAGAAGTTTACATACACTCAATTAGTATTTGGTAGCATTGCCTTTAAATTGTTTAACTTGGGTCAAACGTTTCAGGTAGCCTTCCACAAGCTTCCCACAATAAGTTGGGTGAATTTTGGCCCATTCCTCCAGACAGAGCTGGTGAAACTGAGTCAGGTTTGTAGGCCTCCTTGCTCACACACACATTTTCAGTTCTGCCCACACATTTTCTATAGGATTGAGGTCAGGGCTTTGTGATGGCCACACCAATACCTTGACATTGTTGTCCTTAAGCCATTTTGCCACAACTTTGGAAGTATGCTTGGGGTCATTGTCCATTTGGAAGACCCATTTGCGACCAAGCTTTAACTTCCTGACTGATGTCTTGAGATGTTGCTTCAATATATCCACATAATTTTCCTTCCTCATGATGCCATCTATTTTGTGAAGTGCACCAGTCCCTCCTGCAGCAAAGCACCCCCACAGCATGATGCTGCCACCCCCCATGCTTCACGGTTGGGATTGTGTTCTTCGGCTTGCAAGCCTACCCCTTTTTCCTCCAAACATAACGATGGTCATTATGGCCAAACAGTTCTATTTTTGATTCATCAGACCAGAGGACATTCTTTGTCCCCATGTGCAGTTGCAAACCGAAGTCTGGCTTTTTTATGGCGGTTTTGGAGCAGAGGCTTCTTCCTTGCTGAGCGGCCTTTCAGGTTATGTCGATAAAGGACTCGTTTTACTGTGGATATAGATACTTTTGTACCTGTTTCCTCCAGCATCTTCACAAGGTCCTTTGCTGTTGTTCTGGGATTGATTTGCACTTTTCGAACCAAAGTACATTCATCTCTAGGAGACAGAATGCGTCTCCTTCCTGAGCGGTATGACAGCTGCGTGGTCCCATGGTGTTTATACTTGCGTACTATTGTTTGTACAGATGAACGTGGTACCTTTAGGCGTTTGGAAATTGCTCCCAAGGATGAACCAGACTTGTGGAGGTCTACAATTTTTTTTCTGAGTTCTTGGCTGATTTCTTTTGATTTTCCCATGATGTCAAGCAAAGAGGCACTGATTTTGAAGGTAGGCCTTGAAATACATCCACAGGTACACCTCTAATTGACTCAAATTATGTCAATTAGCCTATCAGAAGCTTCTAAAGCCATGACATTGTTTTCTGGAATTTTCCAAGCTGTTTAAAGGCACAGTCAACTTAGCGTATGTAAACTTCTGACCCACTGGAATTGTGATACAGTGAACTATAAGTGAAATAATCTGTCTGTAAACAATTGTTGGAAAAATTACTTGTGTCATGCACAAAGTAGATGTCCTAACCGACTTGGCAAAACTATAGTTTGTTAAAAAGACATTTGTGGAGTGGTTGAAAAATGACTTTTAATGACTCCAACCTACAGTGGGGAAAAAAAGTATTTAGTCAGCCACCAATTGTGCAAGTTCTCCCTCTTAAAAAGATGAGAGAGGCCTGTAATTTTCATCATAGGTACACGTCAACTATGACAGACAAAATGAGGAAAAAATATCCAGAAAATCACATTGTAGGATTTTTAATGAATTTATTTGCAAATTATGGTGGAAAATAAGTATTTGGTCAATAACAAAAGTTTCTCAATACTTTGTTATATACCCTTTGTTGGCAATGACACAGGTCAAACGTTTTCTGTAAGTCTTCACAAGGTTTTCACACACTGTTGCTGGTATTTTGGCCCATTCCTCCATGCAGATCTCCTCTAGAGCAGTGATGTTTTGGAGCTGTCGCTGGGCAACACGGACTTTCAACTCCCTCCAAAGATTTTCTATGGGGTTGAGATCTGGAGACTGGCTAGGCCACTCCAGGACCTTGAAATGCTTCTTACGAAGCCACTCCTTCGTTGCCCGGGCGGTGTGTTTGGGATCATTGTCATGCTGAAAGACCCAGCCACGTTTCATCTTCAATGCCCTTGCTGATGGAAGGAGGTTTTCACTCAAAATCTTACAATACATGGCCCCATTCATTCTTTCCTTTACACGGATCAGTCGTCCTGGTCCCTTTGCAGAAAAACAGCCCCAAAGCATGATGTTTCCACCCCCATGCTTCACAGTAGGTATGGTGTTCTTTGGATGCAACTCAGCATTCTTTGTCCTCCAAACACGACAAGTTGAGTTTTTACCAAAAAGTTATATTTTGGTTTCATCTGACCATATGACATTCTCCCAATCCTCTTCTGGATCATCCAAATGCACTCTAGCAAACTTCAGACGGGCCTGGACATGTACTGGCTTACGCAGGGGGACACGTCTGGCACTGCAGGATTTGAGTCCCTGGCGGCGTAGTGTGTTACT